CGGGTGATGGAGAGGAGCGGGAATCGCTGACCGGAAGAGCCCGCCTTTGCCGGGTGATGGAGAGGAGCGGGAATCGCTGACCGGAAGAGCCCGCCCTTGGGGAGTGATGGACAGGAGCGAGAATCCGCTGACCGGAAGAGTCCGCCCCTGAGGGGTGATGGACATGAGCGCAGACAGCGCACCGGAAGAGCCCGCCTTTTAGACGATGATTGACAGTGGCGGAGATGCATTCCAGGAAGTGCCCGGCTTTAGGCGATGATTGACAGAGGCGGCTTCTGCAATCAACCGGAAAAGCCCGCCTCCCCTTCCGTGATTGACTGGAAGGGGAACCGGTAACCGGAAGCGCCCGCCCTGCAGATGATGATTGACAGTCGCGGCTGCCGCAGTCCCCGGAAGCGCCCTTCCCCGCCGCCGTGATTGACAGAGGCCATTGCGGGCTATGGGAAGACCCCGCCTCGCCGGGTTGAGTGACAGGGGCGGCTAACGCAGCGCCCGGAAGTGCCCGACTCGCCGGGTTGAGTGACAGGACGGCAACAGAAGACACCGGAAGTGCCCTCCTCGCCGGAATGAGTGACAGGCGCGGCTGCCGCAGTGCCGGAAGTGCCCGCCTTGCCTGGTTGAGTGACAGGACGGCAACCCAGGCGACCGGAAGCGCCCGCCTGTACTGCATGATTGACAGCTGCGGCCTCTGCATCACCGGAAAGTCCGGCCTCTCGCCGATGATTGACAGTCGTGGCTGCCGCAGTCCCCGGAAGCGCCCGCCACAGCGACCGTGATGGACAGCAGGGCGAACCGCTAACCGGAAATGCCCGCCTGTCTGTGATGACTGACAGGCTCGGCTGCCGCAATTCCTGGAAGCGCCCGCCTCGCCGGGATGATTGACAGGCGCGGCCTTTGGGCGCCGGCGGAACCCGGAAGTCCCGACCCTTCACCGGATGATTGACGGGCGAATGTTTCCTGGCCACGGAAGCGCCCGGCGGCGACCGCATGATTGACAGGCACGCACCGGAATTGGCCATTTTAGCCCCGCCCGATGCCCCGCCTTGTCCCCGGCCACTCCGCCGCGGTCGGAGGTCACGCGCGGCGTCCACACGCATGGACGCACGGACGCACAGACGCACGGACTCCGGGTCGGTGTCCAGGACGCGGGCCGACCCGGGTTTCGTGCACGGGGCCGCACTTCCGGTGGCGTGCTGGGCCGGCGGTGACGTCATCGGCGGTGGCGAGGGGCGGGGCCCGGGCGTGACTGACAGGCGCCCTCCGCAGCGCGCGAAGCCGGGCCCCGTCCCTATGCAGGCTCCGGCCCTCCGTAGCCAATCAGCGCGCACGAATGTGGCCGGGGGGCGGGGCCGGAACGTGACTGACAGGCGCCCGCAGCTTGGACACCGGCTCCTTCCTCCGGAGCCAATCAGCGCGCGTGTGGATGGGCTGGGGGCGGGGCCTGGGCCTGACTGACAGGCGCCCGCAGCTTGGAAACCGGCTCCTTTCTCCGGAGCCAATAAGCGCGCGAGACTGGGGTGGAGGGCGGGGCCTGCGCCTGACTGACAGGCGCCCTCCGCAGCGCAGCGCATCGCCATCTTGGAAACCCCGGTTCCCTTTTACGTAGCCAATCAGCGCGCGCGTCCGAGGCCCGGGGGCGGAGCCTGCGCCTGACTGACAGGACGTGAGGTTGGGGGGCGGAGGCTGCGCGTGACTGACAGGCGCCCTCCGCATCCTCCCGCCCGCCATGTTGGAAACCCCGGTTCCCTCCTCCGGAGCCAATCAGCGCGTTGCCGAGGCCCGGGGGCGGGGCCTTGGTGCGCAGGGCGGAGCCTGTTCGTGAATGACAGGACGCACGGTCGGGGGCGGAGCCTGTGCGTGACTGACAGGGGCCCGATCGACCTCTTTCCCTCCCGCGCAACCAATCGGCGAGCGCGTTCGCATCCCAGGGGCGGGGCCTGGGCCTGACTGACAGAACTCGGCGCTGGGGGCGTGGCCTGCGCGTGACTGACAGCCGCCCGCCGCAGCGCCCCGCGCCCGCCATCTTTCCCGTCCCCAGAGCCAATCCGCTCTCGCGTCCGAGGCCCGGGGGCGGGGCCCGCGCTTGACTGACAGCCCCGGGGATCGGGGGGCGGATCCTGCGCGTGACTGACAGATCCCCGCCCGGCACTTTCTCTTCCCTCAGCCAATCCGCTTTCGCCGCCGCGGCCCGTGGGCGTGGCCCTGTCGTGACGGACACCGCCCGGGGCGTGGTCCGCGCCGCCGCGCTGCCTGCCGGGAGCCCCGGCCGCCCCTGTCCATCACCGCCAACCCCGGCGGCCGGGACCGCGCGGCCTTTAATTCATTTCATTTCTTCCCCTCCGACTTTAATTCTTTTCCCCATTTCCCGCCCCCGGGGGTCACGTGACGCCGCGGGTGACCCGGAAGCGGCCCCCGCGGGTGACCCGGAAGCCGCCCGGTGCCGGGGTCCCGGGTCCGGGAGCCGCGGGCGCCGCCGCTGCCTCAGTTTCCCTTTTCCTGTCCCCGAAGGGCCGCTCCTTAAAGGCGCAGGGCGCGGACGGGACCCGGTGAGTGACGGGCGGGCGGGAGGGCGGGCGCGTGATTGACAGGCGGGCGGGCCGGGCGCGGGCTTTTTTTTTTTTTTTATTTCCCCCCAAAAAATTAACGAAAAAAATTAAAATTTCAAATTTTTAAATTTCAAATTATTTAAATTTGGTGCAAATTTTTAAATTTTAATTTTCTTAATTTTATTTTTTAAATTTAATTTAATTTAGTTTTTATTTTCATTTTTATTTTTCCCGTCGGCCCTGGGTCCGAGCCTCGGGCCGCCGGGGAGGTCAAGGGTCAGCAATTTTTAAATTTTATTTTTAAAATTAAATAAAAATTTTAATTTAATTTAATTTAATTTAATTTTTTTTACCGCAGTCCGGGCCGCGGCGGCTGCCGGGGGTTGCGAGCGCGTGGGGTCAGGCCGGGCCCAGGATTCACTTCATTGCTTCCCAGGTCCGTCCGTTCGTCCATTCATTCCGTCACTAATTCATTCATTCATTTGAAAAATTAAATTCGATTTGATTCAATTTTTGATGCGGCGGCGCGGCCTGTGCGGCGGCCCCCGGCCTCCTCCTCCCGGAACCCCGGGGCCCCGGGTCTGGTTTCCATTCCCTGCATGGCAGCCCGGCCGCGTGGTTTTAATTTAAAAGAATCAAATTTAAATTTTATTTTGGATTTGAAATTTGAAATTTTGAATTTTTTCATTTTGAATTTTTTTTTGGTTGTGAATATTTTTTTTTTTTGGCGGCCGCGCCGCCGCTTTCGTCACGTTCTCGGACCCGACCCCGGGGGTCGCCACCGCCATCGCCGCTGCCATTGCCAGGTTTCATTTTCGTTTCCTTTCAATTTAAAAAAATAAATTTAAAACTTTGAAATTTTACTTTCGGAAATTTTAATTTTCCGATTTCCCTGCTTTGCCCCCCGGGCGTCCCGGGTGCCGGGCCTCGGACCCCCCGCCCTGCCCCGCCCGCCCGGGGCCCCCGCGGCGCTGTAGCTGCGGCTGTGGCTATGGCGGCGGCTGCTGGGCCCCGACCCGGGGTTTGAATTCAAATTTTTTCAAATTCATTTTTATTAAAATTTTGAAAATTTGAGAATTTTAAATTTTGAATTTTGTTTTCTTTTCTGTCCCGGGTGCGAGCGGGGCGCGCGGGGTCGGGCGGCCCGGGGTCAGGGGCGGGGCCTGGGGTCAGGGGCGGGGCCTGAGGTGCTGGGAGGCCTGGGATTCGGTGCTGGGGGGTTGGGATGGTGCCGGTCAGTGCGGGCTCGCACGCACATGTGATGTCATGTGACACGCGTGTGACATGTGACGACGACACGGACCCCGGGGCTATGAGGAAGCGGCACGGGACACAGGAAGTGGACGGACAGGAAGTCCCGCCCCACGCTCACCCTGTCCATCATTTTTTTCCCCCACCCCCAGGTCCCCGAGGATCCATGTTCTCCGCCCGCGCACACGCGTGACGCCGCCCTGCGCCGAGCCATGATCCCCCGGCTTCACAGCCCGGGCCACGCCCACCGCCGCCATCGCCCGCGATCTTCGCCGTGACCCCGCGACCTCCACGGCGACCCCCGGCCCGGCCCAAACACGCGTCGTCATGCCATCGCCACGCTAGCTACCGCGCAGCGCGCACATCGGCCATGCCGACCCCGGCGTGACCCCCC